TCACTGTGATGTCTATGGAAGATTTCTGAATTTGCTAAATCCTCACTTCTCTAAACGATCAAGGAACTTGCTGCCTGCTTTCCATTCATGCAGCAGGTTGGAGAATGGGCGAGGTTTTCAGCATCATCTCATCGAGTGGCTTCCAAGCTGTGTTCCTTAGAGCATTCTGTCTGGCCCGCCTTCACTACCACATAGGGGACAGGTCTCATAGAATCTGAGGGATGGGTTTCCAAGAACACATCCTTTCTTCCTCTTAGAACTCATGATCTCATTCCATACTTAGGCGTGGCAGAAGACCAACCCAGAGGTTCAGGGGTGACAAACTCAGGGTCACACGGAAAGAAAGCGGCAGGGAGGAGAACTGGCCTTCCATCTCCCACCTCCTCAGGTTCCCTCTCCTCCTTACCCCATGCTTCTCTGGGCTCTATGACACATGGAAGAACAGAACACTGGTATGCCTTCCAGCTTTGGATCACCTCCCTCTGAGCCCATTCACAAGGTTGCTTCAGGAATTGCTGGTCTTTTGCCCCGAAATGGTCTGGAGAAGATGAAGTGCCATGTCAGGGCCAGCACTCTGTCTACCACCCACAAGGGGATGCATGGTTTATTGAGTGATCAGCTCGTGCCAGTGATCAGGTCTGTGCGTGGTGCCCAGGGGAAAGACAAAAATCAAGATGCTAGAGTGTGGCCCTGCACACTAGCCACCGGAGTCCTATAGTTACAAAGCAACCCACATCTGAAAGACTCATGGGCAGAAAGAGAAGGTTGACAAAGTTCTCCCTGCATGTGAAAGATACAATAAAAGAGATCCAGAGTCAAGCCAAGCAGACCGGATGCACAGTTATCATTCCAGAACACCAACTCCCAGCCAGCGTGCTGAAGCCAATTCATGGACCTTATAGGACAGGATAGAACTGCCCTTGTGAGTTTCCAAGACTGTAACTCTTGACAGGGGGAGATAGATCTGTCTTTCTCTCAAGGAGTAGCTGGTAGTTTTGAACTGCTGACCTTCTGGATTGCAGCCCAACTTGTAACCCCTGTGCCACCAGGGCTCCTATTAGGCTGTTCTTCCTCTGCCTTGTTCTACCCCATTGTTCCGGCCTGTCATGACTACCTGCCTAGACTGCCAAACCACACCCCAGATCAGACTGCCATTTCCCAGACAGCCAAGCTAGGCAAGAGGATGGGGCAGGGCTCCAGAGTATACACAGTGAGCAGCAATATGCTTGGAGCACCTTTCCTTCCTCTTCCAATCTCAGAACCTGGGGTTTGTAGAACAAGATTTGTTTAACGTGTGGTTCTTGCTTTCGTTCCCATTTGGACACCAATAACCTGATTTCATTCTATGACTCTTGACGAATTGGCTCTGGGCAGGGCACTGAGCTAAGAGACACAGTGTAAAGAGCTGAGAGGGATGTTGCCCCATGGTGATGAGCTAAAGCAACGTGGACGCAGAAGCTATTCCATAGTTAAAAGTGATGACAGGAAGGGCTATGGGTGTTTGGAAGAATTTCTGGCTAGGTGAGGTGAGAGAGAAGGAGGAGAAGAAGAGCTCAGAGAAGTCAGAGCTCTGGTGGTAAGCAGGCTAAGCACTGGGCTAGTAAGCTTCGGGCGGGGTGTGGGGGTGGGGGTGGGGTGCTTCAAGTCTACCAGTGGGCCCATGGGAGAAAGATGATGCTGTTTGTTCCTGTAAAGATTTATAATCTCAGGACTCCTTTGGAGCAGTGTAGCTTTTTCCTACAAAGTCACAATCAACTCGATGGTTTGACTTGATTTAAGAGAGGCAGCACTTGACTTGAATTTTACATGGGCATCATGGAGCCACCCGAGGCCTTGGACTTGGGAAGGGGAAGAGGAGATGTGATTATGACAGCAATGGTAGACAGCTTGGGAGGGGGAGAGGCTATAAGTAATTCCAGAATGGTCAGAAGAGGTGGGTAACTATGGGTGGGAGTTGGGGCTTGTTTTTAAACTTCTCACATATCCAAGGCCCTGTGCAAGCTTCCATGAGGCTATACATGCACATACAAATTGGGGCAGAAATGTGGGAAGAGTTTCTTAAAAGCCTCTCCGTGGCATCTTCCTTCATCATGCCTCAAGATGCACAGTTTGTCTAAGGGGGAAAAAACTCCAGCCTCTTCAAGGTAAGCGATAGGACATTAGATTTAGATGCAATTTCCATCTCCTCTGTGACAGTGTATTGAAAGACCAGGACCATGCCGTGAGCCCCAAGAGAGAGGACCAGGCCCGTGCACACAAGTGTGCTTCAGTGGGACTGGACAGAGCACCATTGTTTGGATGGCTTTCTGTTTTTACAGGTGTAATGGAGTCATTTTATGAGTCTTCACCATGACCCAGGGCATAGAAAGACAAATATACCTGTAGCTTTGCTTAATCCAGGTTTCAAGCTCCTGGTTCAAACAAAAACATCATTTCTAAACCATTCCAAAGCAAAGTCCAACATCTTGAATTCTCTATCGCCAGCCCCTCCCCCCTTGCTATTTTCCTCCCTCCCTTCTAGTGTGTCTCCCTCAGTGTGTCTGTCTCCATTTCTAATATCATCAGCTGGTCAATCAATTGATGGGGCTGAGCAGCAGTTCCTTCTCAAAGTGAAGCTGAAAAAGTATGAGTCCACGTTTTCAGGAGAGAGGTCATTGATGTGTTTGTCTGCATGTGAACACTGATGAAAGCCCTAGGGAAGATGCGGTGGTCAGAGAGACTAGAACTTCAGCCTCTGTTTGATTTACTCCCTAACTAACTACTCTGGGGATCCTGGTGCAATGCCCAGAATCATTCTGAGAGTTGCGGAAGGTTGGCATTCTTTTAAAAGACAGTTCTTAAATTTCTTTAATTAGTAGATGTCAGCATTGTTGTGAAGGTGGCTGAGGATTACCAATAAAAAGCGAGATCAGTCACTCATATTCACCTCTTATCTCATAGAAGAAGGCAGGAGAGAAGAGAATGTGCTTCTAATTCTAAAAGCAGGGAGACCCATTGATTGTCAAATTCAGGCTATTCTTGTGAAGGGCTGCAGGATCTTGAGCATACCAAGAGCAGCCCATTTCATGAATGCCGTCGCTTAGGGTCATAAACACACAACATGAAAATGTAGTCATGCCATTAAGTAATAAAAAAATGGAGTCAGGTAAACTAAGTAAGCCAATGTCCCCCATCTCCCCCCACCCCCACCGCCACCCCCAGGAATAGAAATCTAGCTCTGAAGCTTTGTTTCCATTTTCTTTCACTCAAAGTTCATTCTATCATCATTAATTTATTACCTTTCAGTAATGTTTGCAACAGCTTCCCAGCCCTCTAGCCCCCATCCTCCCTCTTAATGTCCAGGCATCAGCTCCAGCAGTGCTGTTTATGGTTCTAATCCACGAAAACCCATCCAGCTCACTCCTGCTCTTTGGCTTTCTATCCCCAAACCGGATACCTGTATTCTGCACACCCAAGCTCTCTGCCATCGAGTTGATCAGGGTCCTCGCGACCCGATAGGCCAGGCTAGAACTTCCCCTGGGGGTGACTGATACTGTCACTCTCTACAGTAGAGAAAGCCCGTCTTAGTCCTGAAGAGCAGCTGGGGTCTCCCACTGCGAACCTTGCAGTTTGCAGCCTCATGTGTCACCACTACACCGCCAGGACAGATGGACGGACAGGGGGCTTCACCAAGTTGAGGGAAGAATGGAAGTAAAAGCTCATGGAATGTTTCATAGAGCTTTCTGAAGTCCCCTCCTATGTCTTTGACCAGAGGATAGGACTAAACCCCATGGACTTAGTTATTTAAATTTAAATATAATATACTTATATGAAACATGAGTATTATGTGAAGATGGACACATACACCCATCCATGCCAGCGATACTGAAGGGAACATGGATTCCATCACTGTTTCAGAAAGAGGCTTCCTGCTTTTGGACAGTTGCACAATGAACATCTTCAACTTCTTCCATGGCCCCCCTTCTGGGCAACCTCTGGGTACCAACTGTGTTTTAAGCTCACAAGGGTTATGTCCACCTCTTGAGTGGATGCCCTGCAGTAGTACTCATTTTTTCAGAGATCAGGCGTCATACATTCCCACCAAGCCAGTGGACTAGGCCTTAGGAATAAGCCAATCTTGCCGATTAATAGAAATCAGTGAGGTCGATACACGTTGTTTGTTAAGAGTCCTAATGGCTTCGAGGGACTTCCGCACAGCCTGCAGTGTCATTCCTTGAGGCTCTTCGCTTACTCTTTCAGTCTACAAGCCTCACAGGGCTTCTCAGGACACTAGAGATGCTAACCACCATGACAGTCACAAGCACCATCATCCTAACAGTTCACATAAGCCACCCAATTTTTTTTCAGTCTGCATTTATGATCTTATTTAACTGTGCTGCCATGGTGTGGTAACTTGATTTTTCTGATCCTTGCCTGCCATGTTCAAGAGTTTTCCCCTCCCCTTAGGACCCCCCCAGGTGGCCGCTTTCCAGGTATGAGTAAAGCCTTCAGATATGCCAAGAGAAGAAGGCTGTTGGCTAATGTGTCTTAGGGCGTCTTGTCAATTTCAAGGCCCGTGGTGGTGCTCAAACAGCACTCTTTCATCACAAGTGAGGCACTAACAGCGATTGCTCGTTGAGCATCTGGAAGTAACATTAATAATGATGATAATAATAATGACCTCATAGGATGTATAATTTGGGGGATTAAAGAACATTTACAAGCTTATTGTGTCATATTTAATGATGAGGTGCCAAGTTTTCTTGCCACCAGCCTTTCCAGTGGTATTTCCTGCTTGGATCAGAGGGCTAATTATCCTCAATGGTGCCCTGTCCAAGAACTTGCCCCACTCCCAAAGCAGATAATAGCACAAAGATACTCAACTGTGTGCGGCTTGGATTTCAGAGACAAATTGATGAATGTTGGTTTGCATTTGCATAAAGCGATGTGTATGATGTAATCATTTAGTGTTTATTGTGTGTACCTTCTACTCAGAGGGTTGGCATTATTGTTCCTAACAGTGACGGATACAAGCAGATCATGCCTTATGACCTCTACCATCCCCTTCCTCGGTACGTAACTCCATCACCCTGATGCTAGAATCAGTAAAGCCCTCGCTGCTGCTGCTACTACTGCCGCTACTGCCGCTACTGCCGCTGCCACTGCTGCTTTGTGTTTTCTGTTATTATTTTGTTTGGTGTTTTGTTTTGTCCTGGTTTTGCGGGTCTGTTGTTAATGTTTCCCCGTGGGGTATTCCAAACACATATGATGGTTGATGGGATAGATTTGCCGCTCATCCTGAGCTCTGCTTTGGAATGATCCTGGTCAGCTCTGATTGTAGGCTTGTCATTCCACAACCCTTGTAAAATAAGCTCGAGTTACCCTGGAGTGGGGGCAGTAATTCACCATGCTTGGCGGCACTGTTTGGGTTGATGTTTTGTCTTTCTTTCCCTCCCTTTATCCTTTTCGGTTGGCCTCTGCAATGAGACACTGCTCACTGGAGCGCTGTGCTAACCCCTGACCAAACTCTGCCTCCAGGATGCTCACGATGCTCAGTAACACGGGCCTGGACGCAGCGCCGCTCTGCATGTGGACTTCCGCTTTCTCTCCTTAGTCCGCTGACATGCTAATGATACACACACCTAATCCCCCCCATCCCCTCCTGAGGCTTACTCTGCCTGACACCTTTTTTGTGTCAAACCTTAAATTCCTCGTGCTGCATTTTTTTAAGCGTGATATTGTTAAAAGCTAGAACAGCAACAAAAAAATGAAAGTACTTCATGTTGAAATGAACTTATTTTCTTTATTAATATGGTCATAAGAAAATGGGCTAGTTAGCAATCGTCTAAGCAGTCATGTGGGTAGCAGCTCCGCTGGGAGCAGCAATTAGAATTGGATGTGAGAGGAGGGATGGTGTATTGAGGGGACTGCAATGGATGAGTTGACCCCAAATGAGGACAAACGTTTGACTATAAAACTGGTGGTCTGCTCTGCCAACCTTCCCCCAAGAACACCAGAAACAGTTGCAAGAGAGAAAATAGAATTTGGATTGAGAAGCTACTGCGAGAAGAGACTTTTGTTCTCTTCAACTGCTCCTTAGAACCAAGAGTTTGAATCCGACCATGAATATTTGGAATGATCCACAATACTTTGCTGACCCCAAAGATAAACTATTCCCAGAGGTCACTGATGAACTGCAAGATGAAACAAAGCTTCATTGAAAGTCTCCAAGTCCCTCATGATTTGGAATTTGAATAGAGCCCTCCTGAGGTCTAGTCCAACTCCCCAAGGAGACATCCATCTCCCGCTCCCAACCCAGCCGTTCCTCACACACTCCACATTATACCAGGCAGCTTCAAAATGGTCGTGGAAAGTTGGAATGCAAAGTCAAGGCAATTTTCCCACAAACTTTTTGAAGCCCTCTAGTATACGTAGACCAGTATGCATGTGTGTTATTGATATGTATTAGGGGTTCGGTCCTACATAACCACACAGGTGTCCCTTTGCATAGATTTACATATATCCATAGATAATACTGCACATCACTGAGCATTGTCATCCAGCGTAGAGGTAAATGCTTCCAGTGATGGCCAGGGAGCTCACTCGTCATCAATCTAATGGTGCTGTACAGAGACAGGGGATTCAACTAAGTCCTTCCCCTAAGTGAGTGCCTCATTTGTCAGCTCCTTTCCAACTTTCCTATGTCTATTTTGATAAGGGCACTACAGAACTTGAGGATGTGCTGGATGTATCATCAGCTTGGTTTGATTCAGAACCAAACGTACATATTAAACGTCTTGAAAATTAAAAAAAAGGAATGAAGCTATCCAAAGACTGAAGCCCGAGGTCATTTGATTGCAACCTCAGTAACAATGAAAGGGATGCCCCTAGGATGCCCGTAGAAGCCCTGGGGCACCGTGGGGAGCTCTCAGCTGTGCAGGTCCCCGGTGCTCAGTTCCATCTCATCAGAGGACGCGGCCGTCGCGGTGGCAGCCTTGGGAACCCTGTGGGGTACTTCTACCCTCTCCCATCGTGTCGCTAAGAGTAGGGACCTGACTCAGTGACGTTGAGTGGGGCTACACGGCTCAGTTGGTGACGGCCACATGTTCTAAGGGGAGGCAGATCAGGTGTGAGGGATGAGAGCAGGAAGTGTTTGCTGCCTGTCTTGGCCATTCCTGCACGTCTCTCCTGTCTCTGATCCCTCTCGTTTATATGTCCCTGCCTCATGCCTGTCTTAGGTTCACCTTGATGTCTTATCTCTTGAGATGCCCCCACAATGCCCAAAGCCAATATGCTCTGTGGTAGCATGGGCCATACATGGTATGATAGAACATGTATGGTCTAAAGGAATGTATTTCTGTGGTGGGTGTGCATCATTCCCCGGCATTCGCATCCAGCGTGTTCAGGTATCACCCTGGGAAAGGAATTAACAGCTACACAGACTGTGGTTCTCACCCACTGCCCATCCATTCCAGAGCACGTTCTAAAGTTAGGCCTGCTGTTTTACTGAATGGGGGCACTTTCTACAAATATGTTTTCCTCGTATACAAAGGGCTGGGGCTCCAAAATGGATCCCCACCCCCAGTCACCCACATGAAGGCTGAAAGCTGTGTTTATTCAAATGGGCTTAAGACCCCAGTGTAGATAGGAGACACTGTGAGTTTCTTCATTACTCATCCCTGCTTTCAGTCTTTGCTGAAGCACATCTGGAAGCGCCCTTTCAGAGCATCATCAGGTAAACTCTCTTAACTCATCAGTCACACAATGCATAAGTTCCCACATTCTTCTGAATTTGGAAAACATCTTAAACTCAAACGTAAGTCAACACCGATGTATTTTAAAGGAGAAGCCACAGGATAGGCCCTGAGTCAAGACCAATGGCTCGCCGTAGCTGACGGTTTCAAACATGAGCCAAGAACCATGGCTGTCGGCTGTTTAGCACGCCGTGGGCAAATGGCCAGCCAGTTCCATTGAAAGAAACAGATTTTATGGAAGATCGTGTCATTCTTTGTTTGTGCAAGCAGTAGACCTTTTTGGTAAGAGTGGTTTTTTAAGTCTACCGAAAAGCCACATGAACAGTAGAGAGAGTTCTCATATACCTTCTCTCTGCTATTTGGCTGACATTTGGTTAAAGAATCAGAGACAGTATTTGGGGACAGGGACTTAAACAAATAGTATTTTTTTTTTATTTCTACCTTTCAGAGGCATTTCTGGGTATGGGGAAGCCAAAGACATTACATGGTGCAGTATATGAACTTGTGTCTGTCCAGGACAAGGTTTGGGGTGTGCATTTTTAAAAATTCCAAACACTTACCAGGTCATCATGGTAAGAGAGCCTAACTGAGTCCGCTTTTCCAACTATTGCCATACCTTAAAGTACCCACATGTTTTGTTATTAAAAGCCCCATATGAAACCGTTAGTACACAGGATTCACATGACCTTTTTTTAAGATACAGAACAACAGTTGTATCCTGGAGCTGTACCATCAGTTCTTGAATCATTTTAGCATCATTTGACTCACTCCGATCACTGAGAAGGATCAAGAAGAGTGCTGATTGCTCCTTGTTAAATTTTCCTGTGGGTCGGGTCCACGTGCCAAGACAGAAACAAACTGCCCCCTTTTTAGAGGCCTCGAGTTCAGGGATATTAGAGCATCAACTAGAATCTGTAATCTTCTGGTGTTCTCCTACTCTTCTAAAAGATCCTCTGAACATTCAGAGCATTTTCCTACTTTCCTATGAGATCAAATGCAATTTGAAGATGGACTGACTGGCTCAGCCATCTCGTGGCCTGTATCCAGCCTAGTGTCTCCTCCAGAGGGAAGCCCTGCACATGCTCGGTCAGAAGAGGAAGCATTGGTTTCCCCTTTGGGAAGAGAAATTCTCCATGTAATCGCTTCAGTCCCTTAAATCAGACTGAAGTCTCCCGAGAATGAGTCAGAGGACCTTCATTTCTCCACAGTAACATGTTCATCTGTGTCTCCTGGAGGAAATCTGCATAGGAAAATGTTGTATTCGGAAGCAGGTTAGATAGCAGCTGGTGCCTAGATTTGAACAGGATGAAGCAAAACCTATTACTGGGAAGCCCACATTATTCAACCTCCTGCAGAAGAGAAGTCTTAGCTCATCCGCGTATGAAGGTGTACTTAGAAAATAAATAATATCTCCATGCTGTGTCTATGCAGCAGAGTAGAGCTGCCACATCGGGTTTCCAAGGCTGTCTCTTTGCAGAACCCGGCTGCCACATTGTCTCCTCCCCTGCAGAGCAGCCAGCCAGCGGGTCCAAACCACTGACCTTTCCATTAGCACCTTACTGCTTAACCCCTGTACCATTGAGGCACCTTTCAAGAACTCTTGTTTCTCCCTCATTAAAATGATAGCTGCCATCATTCTAAGAGAAATCTTAAGCCCTCATCAGTAAGCAGAGAATTCGATATGTAAATGAGAAAAGTCAGCACTCTGGTCCCCACAGTTTGTTGTTGTTGTTTTTAGAAATTACATATTCCATTAAGTAGAGAAATAAGGAGAAGAGGAGAGGAATTGGGGCTAAGATATCTCTCTACCCTTGGTCCCAACTGATTCAGGGCTGTGGTAATCTCTGAAAAGTCCACAGAATTATCTTAAATGTTATTGACTATAGACTCACTTAGTTCAGCCTTTAACGTCAGGTACCATCAAACTTCCAGCGAAAGCCAAACCTTTCACAATCTCAGGAGTTCCTTACTAGGGAGACTCAATGTTCCTCATCAACTAGAGATACATCGATAATGCCTGTGTTCCACACATTATGGATGGGTGGGATTATACGAACTTCAGGATCATGCTGACTCCATGTGGTCCCAAAGTTGATGGCTACCGGAGCGGGGAGAAAAAAATGTCATAGTTACTTGATCTGCTGTTAGTTTCTCCTATAAGAAATAGGCAAAGCTTCAGTAACAAAGCATTTACATTGCAATTTAAAAGTACCAGCTCACGTATGCCATAGAAACTGGATGAGATTAATCATGTTGTTGTTGTTGTTGTTGTTTTGCTTTGTTTTTGTTTTCTGAAACTATAGGAAGGGGTCAATAGTCCTCTTTTGAGGAGGTTACAGATAACACAGATACTCTATGGACCACTGTCCAGAAAGTGCTTTCTGACATTGGTATAGAACTTGACAATTTAGAGAGAACCACACACTTCCCAGACAGGGGTGTAGAACGTCCCCATTGGCAGAGCACTCTTGCGACTATTGGCTTTCTCCTCTCATTCCTGCTCATCGGATTTCAGGGAGTAGATGACTTCTGGGTCTCCCAGTAAACTATGGGGGGGGGGGGTTGGTCTGAAGGGACTGAGGAGGCGGTTGGGCAATGTGCATGTCTGCCCTGATGACGCCCCGTTGCTTCTGTAGGTGGGAGGCCACCCCGTGGACTGCGTGCTCCTCCTCGTGTGGGGGAGGCATCCAGAGCCGGGCAGTGTCCTGTGTGGAGGAAGACATCCAGGGGCACGTCACTTCAGTGGAAGAGTGGAAATGCATGTACACCCCTAAGATGCCCATCGTGCAGCCCTGCAACATTTTTGACTGCCCTAAATGGCTGGCACAAGAGTGGTCTCCGGTAACTGTGCCTTCTTTCTTTGCTAGTAGGAGGAGTTCACTCCCCCCCAGCCCCATCTGGCACCCTGTACAGCTCCCCACCTCTCCTCTGCGAGCCTGCCCGCTTAGCTCCTGGAATAGGAGGAGTGTCACCCATCTACAGGGGTGAAAAGGGAAATGATAGTGTTTAAAAATGGTTTCTTAAAATTATTTTGTCAAGTTGCTTCTAGAAGCCTCTATCACTCTCCAGATAATGTTCCCTCAAATAGCAATTGGTGGGAGGCGGGGTGGGGGTGCGGGTGGGGGTGGGGGGAGGGTTGCTGAAAGCTGTCAAGAGTAATCAAGACCAACCATTTGATCCTGTCAACATGGTGCTGGTGCCAAAGCTCAGAGACCTCAGAGGTCACTTTGTTGCTTCTGCTCCACCCCCAAAAGGGACTGGAGACCAGGAAACTTTGTTGTCTATTGAACAACACGGAATGAAACGAAAATAGCACCATAACTAAAATGAGGGAGTTGCCCTCCTGAAATGGACAGACTCTAGAAATCAGAATAGGCACTACAGTTACATCCAAAATGTGATTCTGGGTTTCCTGACTGCAGGCACAGGAAGAAAAATAGCCAAGGAAACAGAGGAATGACAGACTAAGTCATTGTGCCCACAGCGACCTGGGTGACAAAAGAGTGTTCTCAGAGCCTTGTGGCTTGGATGCAGCCATGCCATTTCTATATGGCTTAGGTTCTAGCTACATCTGACAATAGGATCAGTTCTTCTGAATACAGTTTTGTTTTTCTTTTCTTAATTCTTTTCATTATAATCAATGGAGCCCTAGTGATGTAGTAGTTACATGTTGGGCTGTGAACCACAAGGTCAGCAGTTCAAAATCAACAGCTGCTTCTCGGGAGAAAGACGATGCTTTCTACTCCCCTAAAGGGTTACAGTCTCAGAGATCCACAGGGGCAGGTCTACCCTGCCCGATAGGGTCGTTATGGTTTGGAATCAACTCAATAGCAGGACATTTGCATTTTGTTTTTAATATATAATCAGTGTCAAGAAAATTTTAGTATGGACCTGTGAGCTAGCCTTGCTTGGAATTTAGCCATAGCAAGTCACTAAACAGTTGCAGTGCTAGTAATCCAAATCTAGGAGGCACGGTCTGAGGTGAGTTGCAAAGTTTTCAGTTCATGGAAAACTTCGTTATCTTTGCATCTCATTTTTCTAGAAGCTTTCTGAAGCCCCTCCCTGTAGTTTGTTTTCTCCTTTCCCAAGCCCGGTTAGAGAATTTGCACGCAGGAGGTGCGTAAGGACGATTTGCTGACTAACCCAAAGCTAAGAAGTGAATGTCCAGCTAGCCCCACCCCCAAGTAGCCCGAAAGAACACAAGCTCCCAAGATGGCTAGGAAGTGGTACAAATCCCCACGGCGTCCCCAGATCATAGGTAGTTCTGGTATGAAACCTCTTGGTTCGGAAATGAAGGCTTTGCCTATGAATCTCCTCTCTTCCAGTGCACGGTGACGTGCGGCCAGGGCCTCAGGTACCGTGTGGTTCTCTGCATGGACCACCGAGGGACACATGCAGGAGGCTGCAGCCCGAAAGCAAAGCCCCACATCAAAGAGGAATGTGTCATCCCCACGCCCTGCTACAAGCCCAAAGGTAAATGGACAGGGCTTCCTTGCAAGTCTCTGGGTCTTGTCATTGCCTCTGCATCTTCGGGTGTCCAACCCCATAGGCGATCTGTCAGCCGCCCACGAGTTCAAAGTAGCTGTTCTTTAGAACATAAGCTCAACTCAAGGGACTTCATGCTTTTTCGAAATCGCTCCAATCCTGTGGTCGTCCGTTTAGAAGCACTACCTCAAGAAATCCATCCGTTTCTGTCATTCGCTCCCTCGTCATAAAGTTGATTGAAAACGATTGCTGAGAAGGAATCAGATATGCATGCTTAAAAGCAATCCACATGTGACAGAAATATGTGTGACGACTTGCCGTATAGCATGGGGTTGGGAAAAAGGTGCCAGGAATTGGAGAAGGTCAGCTTAGCTAAGCCGCTCGCACTTCAGACCGATGAAACAGAAAACTGTTATTTCGTTTGACATTGAAAAGAACATCAGTGTCTGCGAATCTCAGTTTGAAATGAAATTTGAAATCAAGGTGGAATATACTTTACCAGTACTAAACTCTTTTTTATTCAGGAAAGTTCTACTTGATGATCAAGATTAATTATAATTACACTGGGGTTCTCGGTATAATTCATGCATACAAATCTGATTCCCTTCCTAGGATTGGTACCATCCTGAGCCAATAAAATAGAAAACAGATAGTCACAAGCCATTCAAAACTAGTAAGTTCTGTGTGACAAGGGTCCTCCTATTTTTAGTATTAGGTTTGATGCTCACCTTCTTCTTAATCGATCTGCTTTAAACTCCAAAAGTTCATCTTGTGTTGCCCCTTATTGTACTTACTTCACAGAAGGGCAAGGCATAATAAAATCTAAATTACTGACATAAAATATGAAAGTGAGAAAACTTCAACAATTGTGAAAAATTCCATTATCTTTTCATTCCACTTTCCCCACAAACCTTCTGAAGCTCCCTCATCTACATTAATTCAATGGCAGTGGGTTTGGAAGTCCTGGTTTTGTTTTACACACACACACACACACGTGCACAAGCATGTGTATGTCAGAGACACTGATTAATTTCAATAAGTTCATCTCTTGCTAAACTCAGTTTCCTCATCTGTAAAATAGGGATGCAAAGAGTACCTGCCTCCGAGCTCATTGTCAATTCCAACCCTTAACAACCTTACTGGCCGAAATAGGACAGCCCTATAGGGTTGCTGAGGGTGTCCACCTTTGTGGAAGCAGGGGGCCACGCTTTTCTCCTAGGGATTGAGTGTGAGTGTGGGCTGCTGACCTTTCCATGAATAGCCAGCGCTTAACAACTGCACCACCAGGGCTCCTCGTCAGAGTGTGCATGTGGCTGAGAAGAGACCTGATACAAATGAGGTGCTTAGCCCTGGACCCAGCAGATAGTAAACCCAAACCCCAAACCAAACCCACTGTTGACTCATAATGACCTTTGATAAAGTTTCCAAGACTATAAATCTTGATGAGAGCAGAAAGCTTTATCATTTTCTCCAAGGAGCATCTGCTGCGTTTGAACCACCAGCCCTGCTCCACACCTAACCCACAGCACCACCAAGGCTCCTTGGCATTTAGGAAGTGCTCCACACATTATCTTTTAGCTTTGACTCTCATTGGCATCCTCAAATGTAGGAGGAGGGGCGCGAGTACAGCTGACAGCAATCATGGCAGATCCCAAGTACCACCTGCCTATACCATTAGTCCAAGGTGACCAGATTTTAACATTGGTAAAGCGGGACACCATCGATAAAACTCATATCCTGGCGAAATAGCCACATGGCAGCCCAAAACCGTATGCCCTAGCTTATCTTGCATTCTTTCCAAAAATCGGGACTTTTTTAAAACGCCGCGGGACGCAGGAAAAGTTGTTAAAAATTGGGACTATCCCGCCAAAAGCGGGACGTCTGGTCACCTTACGTTAGTCCCCAGTTGGATCCTTCGCTATTGAAAGGCAGATAGATGGCCAGGCCATGCAGTAGAAGACGGCTTCATCCGCTGAGTCACTTCGGGGAGAGCGCTGGGTGGGGCTAACGTCAACGTATGCATAGGTTCCGTGCCCCTGTGGTTAAAACGTTGGCAAACACACCCTTTGGACTTGGGCAGTTTTACATTTCTCATTCTCTTTGTTTTCTAACTATAAACAATGGCCGTATGTAGAAGACATGGCTGTACCTTAAAATAGCCAATTATTTATAAGTCCTGTCTTGACCCAACCACTTCAGAGAAGGAAAAGCAGTTTGTGGTTAACTATCAAGAATAAAATCTGGATTTTCACAACTAAGTAGTGAGATCTGGCTCTCTCACCGTCATTAAAATGCCATATAATTCTATGGTGTATGCATATACAGTCATATTTCTTTTATCTTTTCAATTGTATGCTATAAAATGTGATAGAGCTTCACTGGCTCATACTATAAAGGCAAATCTGCCTATAAATGACCCTAATAAATATGTCAGAAAGAGAACCTTGGCAGTTACTTCTGTCGGAACGTTCTGAACTCCCCTTTTCTTTGCTCCTCCACACATTTTTTTCCAGGAAGTAGTTAGAAAGCTTGTTCTGAATTGTTTAGCCAAAGCTAGATAAAGAGGTGAAGCCAGTGGAGTGATGGGTTTTGCTCGCAGTCCAATTGTCAGGGAGCCAAGTGAGGACAGCATCGAATGAGTTTGTAAGTAAAACAATGCTTTCTGAACTTCACAGTGGCAGCGTTTGGCTTGGATTTGAAAAATACAACGGAGGCCACACTTAGCCAACAGGGAAAAGAAAAATAAGTTACAGTTATGAAAGGCTAACAATTTCATTGTTCCCACTCTGTGTTTATTTTACAAGGTAGGGATCGTCCTGTGCTTTCCATCAGGGGTCCCTGGGTGACCTAGCATGTGCACATGTTGCTGAGGCTCCTGAGAGAAAGCCTTCATGAGGAGGCTTTCCCTTGCCTGAGCTCAGCATGGTACAAAGACATGCCATGCAGAGACTCGTGCAGTCAAGTTTCCAAATCTGATTTTGTCTCTTGGTATTTCCATCATCAGGCAATGTTTTACCGGAACAACTTACTGATATTTGCGAGGAATGATCCTAACTTCTAGGTACAGGACCAAATTTAGCACTGGTGATGGTGGTAGCGGCGGGCGGAATAGGACCGTGGTATTTCTTGGACAGCTAGATGGCCTCTCACTTCTTTGTCATGCACATCTGTTCCTCAGAGAAGCTTCCGGTAGAGGCCAAGCTGCCATGGTACAAACAAGCCCAAGAACTCGAAGAAGGAGCTGTGGTGTCTGAAGAGCCATCGTAAGTTTTCAAACCTCAGTTTGTTTTTCCTTTGGGCTGATTGATTTAAAGCAAATAGTGTCTCCCAGGTTGTGCCTTCCTGGGCGGCGAAGTAACTAAGCCTGAGCATCTTACTGAAGATTAGAATGTGTTCAGGAATGCACACCTCCACCATGGGTCCGCTCCTCTCACTGATAATTCCAAGCTTTATCGTCGTCGTTAGCGTGCTTTTCGAAGCATATGATTGGTCTCTAAACACGTGTCGGTTTTGTCTGAAAGGAGAAAATTAAAGTACAGCGTCTGCCCATCCCTCTTCTCTAAATGACGCTTCTCTTTTCTCTAGCTGAGCTGAGAAGGCCCGGGCTGCTCTGATTGGGCAGCAGAGCTGTTGTGTGACAGTCGGGGCAGCTTCTCCCCCTCTTTATCGCCCAGCTTTGCCATGGCGCCGCTCACAGGGAAGCAGAGTGGGAAACTACGTCTGAAGGACAGGGAAGCTTATTGGCTGTTCTTCCTCCCATTTTGGTGTGTTTGTTTGTTTGCTGGGATGGAGACCCGGGTCTTTGCTTCACTTGATCTTGGCCCTCGAGCTCTCCTGTTGTATCAAGGCAATGACGCTTCTTAAGACTCTTGGCCACCGATTTGCCAGATGCTTCCGAAGAAGAAACGAGGAAGAGAAACAAAGGGGTCGGGTGGTTGCTTGCTTGGGGAGTTGGTTGGGTGGTTGCTTGCTTGGTGATGGATGAATGCCGAACGTGGATTCCATTGGAAAACACTTCCAGGCATGTCTGCTGCATCATTTTGGAAATCATGGAAATAGCTTATTGATGAACTTCATCTTGGACCAAAAGATTTCTTTGGTGGAAGATGTCTGGACCCGTTCGTTTCAGTATTAGCCCCTTGCCCTGCATTGGGGTCTAAGAGGTGTTACCCACCCTCCAAGAGGACCCAGTATAGTATACCAGATAGGTTATAAAAACAGTCTCTAAATTCAAGGGATAGTTTAAATGTGACTGACTTACAAATGTACCTTGTGATCTGTATATGTAAAGGCAATAAGAAATTTCTGGCTCATCCTGCTGGAATCTAAATCTGATGTGGTTTGCCGGAACACAAATTATGTTCCTGAATCACTCTCTAAGCAAGAGATTGGGAAAGAAATCCAGAACAGAGATTTATACAATGAACAGAAGTCCTTTGTGGGGGTTTGGGGGAGGAGATTATTTCAGTTGCTTGGTTACACAGAAAAATGGGCTGTGCGTTCATAACACTTTCCTTAGTTAAAAGGACAATAAGCAATATATTATTATATTTATTGTTATTATATATTATTAACATATATTATTTCTGGATTACAAGCGACCTCAGCAGCCTGTCCAACTTCTAAGAAAGAGCAGCTGTGACCGGGCTTTGGAAGAAAGGCAGTGGCGAACGGTCACAGGGCAGCCTAGAAGTGAGCTTAAGAAGGTGCAGAACTTTCGATCTGTCTCTTGTTGGTACCTGGCTTGAGACCCATTCCTCATGGTGCAAAGGAGACCCTCCACTTGTTGTCAGGCGCCATGAAGTCAGTTCTAAGTGACTTGACACACAGCAGAATAAAACACTGTGGCCTGCTCCTGCGCGGCCACGCTCACTATTGTCCTTATTCCTGAGCCCAGTGTTGCACCATCCCCTTGAGAGCATGCCTCTTTGTCGCTGCCCCTCACTCTGCCCAGCACGATGCCCTTCTCGAGGAACTGGCCTCGCCTGACAACATGTCCAGAGTCTGTGAAATGAAGTCTCGCGATCCTTGCCTCTTCGGAGCCCTCGGGCTGCACGTCCTTCAGGACGGGTCTGCTTGTGCTTCCGGCAGTCCGTGGCAACTTTCCTGCTTGTTCTTCTCCAGCCTCACCACCCGTTGCAGGTCCATGAAGGCACACCAAGATGCCCAGTCATGGAAGCTAGTTACTCTTGATGTTAAGGTGACCAGATTTTAACATTGGTAAAGTGGGACGCTGTTGATAAAACTCATATCCTGGCAAAATAGCCACATGGCAGCCAAAAACCGTATACCCTAGCTTGTCCTGCATTCTTTCCAAAAATCGGGACTTTTTTAAAACACCGCGGGACACGGAACAAATTGTTAAAAATCGGGACTGTCCCGCCAAAAGCGGGACATCTGGTCACCTTACAAGTTTATATAGATTCTTGGGTTAGATGTGATTTGTTTGCTTGTTTATTGTAAATGAGAAGGGGGTTACGTTTTGGAGAAGCAACTTTGTATTCAGCAGTTTATTACGAATGGACACCCCCCAAGAGTTTCTCCTCCTCCCTTTCCTTGTTAACGCTTCTTCTTCTTGTGGGTTACCGTCATTCACTACACCCAAGTTACCCCCATCCCCTCTCTTCCCTTCCTTGCCGGCTTGCCCTTGGAGGTCTCCAGCATCCCTTCCCTTGGCTGTCAATGTCATCCTCTTGGTTCGCATCTATTTCTTAACTTACCATAGCGGTCTCCTCGAATACTTGTCCTTTGGGTATTAACTTCACTCAGCGCGATGTTCCCCAGCTCCATCTATGCCACGAGGTGCTTCATGGCTTGGTCACTGTATTTTTTAGCAATGCATACTATTCCACTGTGTACCAGCGTTTTTGTTTTGTTTAATCCATTCTCCCACGGGTGGACAATTAGGTTGTTTCTATCTTCTTGCTATTGTGAGCAGTGATGCCCGGAACAAGGGTGTGCATATATCTTCACAAGTGATGATTCTTTAAGATAGATACACCGCAAAGGGATTGCTGGATTGGATGGAATGTCTATGTAGGTTAGAGATGTTTAACACTGGATAGGTAACCTTTCACCTAAATACATTCTCTGTTCTCTTAGTCCACTATATTTCACCAGTTAGACAAAAGCATAACCCTGTATATAAAACTGCCTTAGGAATGATGTAAAGCCATATAACAAAGTTGAAATCAACTCCAAACATCTTACCTCTAGAATTAAACACCTGATGCCTTATCAGATGCCTGACAACCAAAGCTAGAAGGGAGATTCAGTGCTGCTTCAGACGCCACACAAACCACGGGCCACCGTCTTGTGTAGTGAATATTTTCCACCAAAGGTTTTGACTTAGATGCCTTATATTCAACTTTAATCAGAATAAAATCCCTGAAGTAGTTAAACACATAATTTTCACCATTGAACGTATAGCCATATATTACACTATTAAATTTTACTTGTAGTGGAATGGAATTGCCATCTTGGCATGATTATTCTGTATTGAAGCCGATTGTAATTGGAGCAGTGGTGCAGGGTAGAGGAAATGTATATGATTATACTCAGAACAATAATTACTTTTATACCCAAATGAAATAAATGACAGCTGTAGAATAATGTAATGAAAGGTGTATGGTTTCCACATTTCAATACATTTACATGTTGAGTGCACTGACCCCGTGGAAAGGTCTTACATGTCGTGTTTTGGTTTTGTTTGTTATTTTTAATTTTTATTGATCCTGATTTATATATATATATATAAAATGTTGCCTGGTCTTAAGACTTTCATTTTTAAAAGCAGATAGACTGGTTTCTAAATGTATGTAGCAACCCATAATTACTCTCCAAAGTATAATGAAAAAATGATATACTGTCAGCAAGTAATTCCTGCTCCCGATGGGGAGCCGTACATTGCTTACATTAAACGGTCATGTGTAGAGACTGTGGCTGTCATGGTGCACTGCCGCCACGAAGGAGGAGCTCTAGGCGGCCCAGAGAGATGAGCTCTTGCTTTGGTTCCAGCTAGCCTGGGAGAGTTATTTTGTAAAACAGCAAATATAACTTCTTTCCCCACAGGTAAAGTGAAAATATTATCGCCAGCCTGTCTCATTCAATAATATAGGCAAACTGTTGGCTTAGAGTCTTTAGCATGTGACGATACGTTTCTCGAATGTCGGATTATTTGGGTAGCCCCAAAATATGAGGAAAAGAGGGGTTAGCACTCTGGCCAAAAATATTTGGGAAGCAATCACTCAGAGATATGTTTAGAAGCAAACTATGATTAAAGACTAAAATCTGAATTGTCACGATAACTAAACATTCTTCGACTCAAAGGTTATCCCAACATCGATGTTCCTCTGAGCTCAACCTGGTGCAGAAGGAGGGCTAGTTGATCAGCCTGTGACGGGGTACCATTTGGCCAAGGGGAATATTGCGTCCTGCCAACCCCAGTTGGCATTGGAGTCTCGTGTAAGCCCAGGGGTCTCAGAGTCAAAAAGTCCCCTGTAGAGTTTTAGGGGGCTGATTATTCACAAGTAGATCTTGAGATCCTTCTCCCAGAGCACCTCCCTCCGGTGGGATTTAGTCCCCAGCCTCTTAGTTAGCAGCCAAGCACATAAACATAAACCACTTGCACCACTCCGGGTGACTAAGCACTGGCAAAGGGAGCTGGAGAATGTTCCTGGTGGAATTCTCTTCAGCCTAGATTCTGTCTTTTGAATTTGGCTCCAATTGATTTGAGTGGGTTGGGGGGCGGGGCTTGTTTTGAGGTGCAGTCAAGGCAATTCCGTCTCATAGCAAACCTGTGTACAATTGGACATAACATTTTAATGCCAGATGTGGTCCTCTGGTTGTTTTTCTGGAAAAATATCTGAGAATAATTATTATAGGTATTTATAAACCTGCAGAATTGTATATGATGGTGGACAATGTGATAGAAATTATATATGTCTGTCTAGATGGTGATTCTCAACCTTCCTAACACCACGGCCCTTTAATACAGTTCCTCATGTTGTGGTGACCCCCCCCAACCCTAAAATTATTTTTGTTGCTACTTCATAACTTTTGCTATTGTTATGAATCAGGGGACCCCTGTGAAAGGGTTGTATGACACCCCCCCATAGGGGTCGCGACCCACATATTGAGAACCATTGGTCTAGATGCTTAAAGCTAAGTCCTGGTTTCAGTTTCCCATCTCTTAGTTTTATCACCTTACTTGCAGCCCTTTTGGGATGGATACCTAAACATCACGATTGCCTGAAGCCAAGCA